GTAGGACAGCCACACAGTCTTCACCACAGCCCAAGGACAGACACTGCTGGTGGCCCCTTTTTACAAAAGGTGAAACTGAGCCACACACTGAGGGAGCCTTGCCCAGGATCACAGAGCTAGAAAGTGACGGATCAGGCACCAGGGTCTGTGCTCTAACCCCCATGCTGGCTTGCCCCGAAGTGGCGGCGAGGCTGCTGTCAGCCTGAGGCCCCCAGAGAAATTGCAGAGGAGAGAAGCCAGGGAGAAGGGGCCAATCCTGGAGAAGGCCACAGCCATTGGAGGGGTTGGTGAGGGGAGCAGGGACAACCAGGAGAAGAGGCAGCCCGGCTGGTGTGACTGGCTGTGGTGTCAGGTGCTGGGGGTGTGACCTGGGCAGCAGGGTCCATGGGATAGAGGGGTGAAATCTGTTGGCCCTGAGATGAACAGGGGTGGATGTGAGGGCGAGTACTGGCCACTGCAGGTCACTGGGCCAGAAAGGAAGGGGAGAGATGAGGTGGTGGCTGGCAGGGCGTGTGGCCAGTGCCGGTGGGGCTGTTTTGGGGCTGAGGGCTCCAGTTTGCGACTTGGCTGAGGGGAGGCCTGTCTGTCTTCTGCAGGAGCAGGAAGATGTGCGCGGAGGAGCCATCCTCCTGTACGGAGATGTCATCTACAGCGGTGGCAGGAAGTATCAGCAGGCGCTCAAGAACCATGCCTTCCAGTCCCTGGTGCCGTTGCTCTTCCACCTGACTGACTCCTGTCCCGAAGTGGTCATGGTGAGTGGACAGCATCCAGACAGTCCTGGGGTGGCCTGGGGCATGGCAGGCAGCTCTGAAGAACTCAGCCTCAGTAAGTGGAGACCAGGGTGAGGCTGTCATCCTGGAGAACCCGAGTTGCCTGACCTTGCAGGCAACCAACTGTGCAGGTGGAGAATGGGAGAGGACCTATCCAGGGCGGCAGTTTCCTTGGCTCCGCCTGCCTCCAGCTTCTCCTCTACCCATCCAGGACTCCGTGAATCTCCCCACTACACATATAAAATCAGCCTCAGGAGCCTGGCGTTCAGGGCTGGGGTGCACACCATGCTCTGCTGCAGGGTCCCCACCCCAGGGAGAGGCGCTGTTCAATTCCTGCAAAGATTTATGGGCGGCCCTGTTGCTACCAGCCACTTCCCAGGCCCCCAGGCCTCCTGGGCCATGTGTTTGTGAGGCGCCTGTTACCTGCTGGGATACCCCTTCCAGGTGCTCCTCTTGAGGGAAGCTTTACAGGGGGGCAGTGGCAATGGGGAGGGTGACCTACCTCTCTGGGCACCCACAGAAGACCAAGTTCACCTTCCTGCGCTGCGCTATCTTGCTCAAGTGGGAGTTTCGGAAGCAGCTGTTCAGCAAGTTGGCATGGGGCCATGGCCTGAGTGCCGAAAACGACATTTTTATGTGCATGGTATGAGGCTGAACCCTCCCAGAAGGGCAGGGGTGCTGCAAAGGTGGAGATGGGCTGTGTGCAGTCAGGGTCCTCTGGTTATCAGCTCACCCCCATGCCGGGGAGGGAAGCCCAGATGGGGGTGGAGCGATGCAGGCCTCCTTGGTGATGTCAGCTTGGGCCCTGCTGCATGCCTCTGGGAGGATGATCCCTCAGCAATGGGCTCAGGACTCCCAGGTGGACCATGTCGGAGATCACCCCCACTGTGCATCTTGGATGGGGAGTCCCACTTGGCGACTGGGCTTGTCTGGGGAGGCTGGGTGCCCACTGATGTCCCAATGCAGACATGGGGAAGGCCCTTAAGTTCCCGGAACCCCAAGTGGTCGAACCTCAACCCCACAGAGTCGTGGGCTCTCATCCCTGATGACGGGATGTGTGTGGAGGTGGAGTGAACAGCATGGGGAGAGTAAGACACACCACAGCTCTGTTTTCTGGCAGCCAATTGATTTCATCCCTGAGTGGAAAAGCAAGCTGACCCTCTACCCTTCCGTCAGAGCTCTTGGGGACTGCTGGGGACTTGGCCAGCACACCTGGTTCATACAGATCTCAGTGGGGGTTCTGAGGGCTTGGGGACCCCTGCTGAGGCTGGGAGGCTGCAGATGTTCCTTGAGAGGTAGGGAGGGTGTTCTCAAAGGTGGAGGGGGCACAGGTGCCCAGGGAGAGAGAGGCTAGCTTCTCAGGAACCCTGAGAGCTGATCTCATGGGACCCACCTTCCTGGGGGTCAGGAGCCAGCCAGCCAGGGCACCTTCTCAGACTCTCCCGGGGGTGCTTGGGTACTTGGCATCAGCCTAAAACTGTATATGGATTAAGAGCTCCATTTGCGCTCTGCATGTGGGTCCTTGGCCAGTTTTTTGTATTGAGTTATTTTTGCCCCATTTGTGACTTGTCCTTTTACTTTGCTAATGGGGTCTTTGGCTGTGAAGAAGCTTTGGATTTTAATGTAGCCAAATGTATTACTTTCCCCTGGTTTGTGCTTTCGGGTCTGATGAAGAAACGCCTTCCTAGGAGCAGTACCTGCAGAGGTGGGACAGGGGGTCAATTCTTTTGAGCTCTCTGCCCATGGAAGTGGAATGCTGGTGACCCGTGCACTGGTGGCACTGCAGGGAATCCAGCTGCCACTGGAGTTGATGACAGTGCTTCATCTGGAACTGACTGTGCACACGCTGTGACTGTGCAGTGTGTTGTCAGGATCTACCAGGAGACAGACAGATAGTGACTTGAGCGGGGAGGGGTTACTGTGAAGAAGTCACTGCAGCGGGATCGGAGGGAGCAGGGATAGGCCAACAGGAAGTAGAGAGAACTCTGGAGGTCACAGGAACAACAGGAATGACACGTGTACATGCTACAACAACAAGTGAGATGGGACGTACTGTCCTGGATTTATAGTAGCCACCACCTGAGGGTTGAGCAGTGCCCAGAACCCCTCTCCCCGGGCGACAGCAGGCCTTGAGAGGGCAGGGCCCTGACTCGCTCAGCAGCAGAGTAGTCTGTGGGGAGCAGAAATTGCTGGAAATGAGCTCCTCCCTGAGATGCCAGGAAGAGTGGCTCACAGGGAGGTGTTGCAGGAGATCCCATTGAAAAACTGTCCTGGGGGTCCAGGGGAAAGCTGCTGCCCACCTCCTGGGGCTGGCTACTGACCCTACAGGGTCTGGGTGCTTTTCAGAGAGAGTGGAAGAGAGGGAGGGAGGGGGAGGGACATCCACTGGTTGCCTCCTGCACTCAACGTGTCTGGGAATTGAACCCTCAACCCTTTGGTGTGTGGGCTAGCACTCTAACCACTGAGCAACACCAGCCAGGGCTCTAATTTGCTCTTAAAACACCTGCTGACCTTTTTCTATCGATGGCTATCATTTTCATCTGGTTCCTCTCTCTCATGTCTTTCACAAGCCTGCTTGTTGTCCCCCCTAGTGTCTTGTTCTCTTCTGACACATTCCCTTCATCCACAAATGTAAGTGAGAAAAAAAATCCTTTGTTCTCTCTAGCGGGTGGCCTGCTTATCTGAAATTCCTGAGGACCCAGCCTGGGTCCTATTGGTTAGGTTTTCTGATGCCTGGTCATGGTGGGCTTCCTGTCACTTACCTGGTCATTCTGGATTACAAGCTTTCTCTGTGTTTGTCTACACTAACTTCTTGGCTCTCAGGTAGCACAGGATTCGGGCAGTGTAAATTCAACTCCAGGTCCTCACGTTGCTCTGGGCCATGGTCACCGTGCCTCAAGAGACATTTCTGTTCTCTTGTTCTGTGGCCTCTCTCTGCCTGCTCTTGGCGTCTTTCCGGTCCAGGTTCTTGAGGTCCCTCCTTCCACCTCTGCCTTCCTGGGCCTGAGGGGTTGACCTTCTTCCTGACAGTGGTCCTTTGGGCGGCCAAAGTGGACACTTACCTCAACTTGGGGAGCTGGCCAGCACATCAGCTCACATGCTTGGGTCTGGTCTCATCCTATGCATGTCTGCCTTCGGTGATCTCCCCTTGGCTAGTTCAGGTAAAGACTTTAAAAACGGTGTTGTAAATCGATACTTTCATCTCAGAATATTTCTGTGCATGGAGAGGTACCTCTTCTACCACTTTATTTAATATCCAGTTTATTAATCTTGTTAGTTTATTAAACAGTCCACCTAGTAAAACATTAAATAGTCAACATTACTAACATCGCATTTGCCCATTACTAAGGCAATTCATGGATTTAACAAAGTAAATTTCCCTGGGCATTTATTTACATATCACTTCCAAGCTTATTGAAACACCTCTGAACGCTTAATTAAAACCCTAAATTTAGCTGCGGGAGCCTCCCGGGCTGTGAATAAGATGGGCCTTGGTGCCGCCAGGCGGAGAAGGATGCCTGAGCGTTTCTGTTCCTGTTTCCTTCCCTCTCCTCTGGTTCTTCCTTCTCCACTGCAATTGCAAGTGGCAGATGAGCCAGTTCAAACAGGTGTGGACAGTGAAATAAACTGATTATAAGCCTGAAAACGCTTAGAGGACATAGTCATAGGAAAGCTTACCCCAGAAGTTCAAGTGAGGCAGCCGGCCCGCCCCTCCATACCCCTGTTCCCCTCCATAGTGCAGCTTTATCTAGGCCTCGAGGCTGTCCCTCTCCTGGATTGGCTCTCCCCTCTTAGAAATGGTAGTCACAGGTTCCCCGTTGCTGCGGATATGCACCCAGGAGAGTGAGCAAGGCGGGCAGTGGTGGTCCAGTCCTGCATGCTGAGAGCCCAGGGACCTTCCCTGCATCCTGGTGGCTCTGGACCTATAGCTGAAACTGTGGGTGGAATGGGAACCAGCTGTGTGGGGGAGGGGCAGAGGCAGCTTCCTGGAGGACATTTGGGACAGTGTATGTGTGTGTGTGTATGGGGGTGAGGGTGACATATGAAAGGTCCTGGATCCCTTCGCCCAGGCCCCCACCCAGGATGGGGCAGAAGAAAGGACCAGTTCTGCAGAGTTCTCCCTACCTCACCCCTGCCAGAACCCCAGCTTCCAGGCCTTGGACCTAGACCCCTGTCATGGCTTTCCTCCTTTCAGGCCTTGGGACTGCTGGGCTGCAGTGGGGGCCTCAGGCAGAGCTGGGTCACAGAGGCCAGGAACTATGGGGGCTCCAGGCTGGCCACTGACTGCGTCTCCCCCTCCCCAGGTGGAGAGCAACTTTGGCAGGTGCCACCAGTTTCTCCTGCAGGCCTCCATCTACCTGAGGAGCCCCCACAAGAACCTGAAGCGAACGGCCATGAAGTTCATTGGTAGGTGCCTCTTCAGCGGACTTGCTCCCACCCAAGATGCCCATCAGGCCCCACCCACTCCCCAGTGGGCTGGCCTTCAGGGTGGCCCATGGGTTCCATCAGCCAGGCTCCGGTCTCCTGTCATCTCCCACCGCCTCCTGTGCAGGGGGCATTCTGCAGGACTACTTCACCAACCTCTGCTTCTACCTGAAGAAGGGCGACTTGAAACTCTTCAGGAAACGTGAGCGCAAGTCTGGCCTGTCTGGCCTGGGTTCTTCTTGTACCTACATGGGCTGCCCTGCCCCGGCCCCCCCCTTGTCCCCACCCCCTGCCCAAGCCTTGGCTGGAGTGGCGGTGCATTCAGACCCTTGATATCCGTTACAGATTTTGAGATCCTCAAGCAAGAGCAGGACTCTGTCAGCCGAAAATTCTACCAGAACTTCTTGAATGATGTCATTGAACTGTCCCAGTATGTGAGCCAGTGAGTCTGGCTCCCACCTGTGCTAGATGTTGTGTTATATTGTATAATTCTCTCTCTATTAAACACGAAAGAGTTCCCCTAGCTCTCTGGGGTCTCCCTGCCCTGAGCCCTCCTGCTGTCCCCTCCATGGGAAGCCTGGGAGGCCTTCCCTCCTGACACAGACTCTAACCAGTCGCGGACCTGAAGGGTATCTCCTAACGCCAGCATGAGCCAAAAACTCACCCGCTGGCTGCAGCCCAGAGCCTTGTAGGACCTTGATGCCCTTCCCCTCTCCCTGGCCTTACCAGATCTTGCAATCCCTCCTCCCCAGCATCTAGAACCTCCCATGTGCCTGCCCTAGTCCCGGGCCCCCAGCCTCCCCTCCTGTGCCCTCCCTTCTCTACCCCCTAGCCCAGAGCCCGAGCAGAGCTTTCTATCCCAGCCCACCCTGTCCCATCCTCAGATCATATTCAAATCTGGAACATGGCCCTGAGTCCCTCAGGGATCTGTCCTTGCCTTCCTCTGCCCCCCGCCCTGATGTCTCCTCTCCTCTAGGATGCCCAGCTGTGCAGTGCCCGGGCCTTTCCTGCCGAGGGCCCTCAGCCCCCTTGCTCCCTGTGGCTGTAAAGGGGATGGCATTTGTGGCCACGAGGAATGTTGGGGCATGTGGTAATCACTGTACACATGAACCAAGTGGAGGCTGATGGTGAGGCCCTGGCGCCGTTCTCGCCCTCACAAGGACCACTGGCCTCTCAGACTAAGAAGTGAGGTGCACCTACACAGCTATCCAGGGCATGTGTGATGGGCCATGTCAGAGGCCCAGAAGTCACCTGACTTTTGCCTCCAGCCAGGAGAAGGATATGCTGGAGCCCAGCCTGATGGGCATCACTGGGTGTGGGTCAGGATGGGCAGAGCTACAAGCCTGGCTGGGCAGAAGGTGCCATTTGAATGAAGGCGAGAGGCCTGATGCCTAGGGGTCCAAGAGGACAGATGAGGGGAGGGCTAGCTGGAAGGGTGGGGGTGCAGGGGGTCAGGCTGGGAGGCTGAGAATGCCTGCCTGGGGCTGGGCCTGTGTCTGCCCAGGACACAGAGCCAGTGGGGGTGCTGGGCAGGAGAGGAGCCCATGCTATCCTCAGGGGCCTCTCCCTGCAGGTGGTTGGGATGGGTGGGGGCAATCTGAGCTGTGGTGGGGCATCTACCACATAGGTGCAGCCGGCCAGGGGGAGAGGCAGGAGGGCTGCACTTGGGAGTCCCAGCAGAGGACACTCAGACTAAGCAGCTGGAGGGAGAGAGGGAAATGGGGGCTGCCTGGGAGGTTACAGGAGCCAAGAACAGAGTGGTAGTCAGAAAGAAGGGGTGGACAGCTGTGTGGGGCACTCTCCAGGTTGGGGTAATGAAGGTGGAAAGGATCAAATGTCTTTGCTAGAACACTTTGGGGGTTGGCAGGTGGGAACAGAGCCATCATGGAAGTTTGCCACCTCTGCAGGGGCAGACTGGATGCTCCCAGGTGCCTCCCACTAAAACACAACCAGATCTCCTGATGGTCGAGGAAGGAAAAGAAGCTGAAACTGTGAATATACATTTGTTTCATAATCACTAACTGCAAACCAGTAGTTCTTTAATTTATGGGCCTTCTTGATAAGACATATTGTGCAGTGCCTTGTTGTTATATCGACTGAGCTAGAAACACAGAATGTAGTTTCACGTTTTTAAATGCACTGCTGTGCTGGAATTTGAAAAAATTATTGACACTTCAAATAATAAAGTAAGCTTTGTTTATTAATAATTTAAAAGAAAATACAACTAGACCTGGGGAAAATTGCAATAAATGTGCTTTTTAAAAATAATTAAAAAAAAATTCCTCACCTGAGGATATTTTTTCCATTGCTTTTCAGAGAGAGAGAAAGGGGGGAGAGAGGGACTGCACATTGATGTGAGAGAAACACATCGATTGGTTGCCTCCTGCACTCACCCCCACTGGGGCTGGGGATCGAGCCTGCAGCCGAGGCATGTGACCCTAGCTGAAATGAGGACCTTTCAGTCTGTGGGCTGACATGCTAACCACTGAGCCAAACCAGCCAGGGTGTAAATGTGCTTTTTAATGCATTGCTGGCATGAGAAACAGTAGGCAATCTCCATAGTCTTAAAAACAAAAACAAAAAAATTAACCCAGAGTGATGAGCAGAAAACAACAGAGAAGCCCAGGGCCACCCAGGGTTGATGATGGAGCTGGGGCTGGGGTAGGGGTTAGGTTTGGGGTAGGGGTTGAGGTTGAGGCTGGGGCTGGGTTTGGGGCTGGGCATCAGGCCTTGCTCTCCCAATCCAGGGAGGAGGGAGTGTGGAAAAACCACTCCACTTCCAATGCCCAGTCTCTGCAGTGGACTCTGTTGACAGCATTCCCTTGACCTTTCCTCTCCTTTGTCCTCTGGCCTTGTGTGTGGTACCTACCTATTAGACCACATGTTCCGAACAGCAATTCTTTGCTGTTCCTGAATAAACCCATTTTGTTGGAGAAATATCTGGCTGTCTATTGGTTTAAGGTTCAACAGGGAAAAGGGGATTAAAAATAAATATTTAAAAAATGTAATCACTTAAAAAGATCAGGAAAGGATTTTTAAAAACTACAGTAGAAGCAAAAAGCAAGGAGAAACAAGATGGCGGCGTAGGTACCAGCTGCTCCCGCCGCCTCCCGCAACCACATCAAAATCACAACTAAAATACAGAACCACCAGCACTCAGAGCCTCCTGAGATCTGGCTGCACAGAAGCCCCACAACCAGGGAGCTGAAGCAGCCCCGAGACCGGGAGGAGAGGGGGAGACGCGGGCAGATCGGGGCTGAATGGAGACGTGCCTCGACCCACACCTGGTGCCCGCGGTTGAAACCTGGGAGGGAATCTCGGCGGGGGAGGTTTCCCAGAGGACTGAGGGTCCCAGCCCCACAGCAGGCCCCCTGCCCAGGGCTCCAAGGCTGGGAAGAGACGTCCCACACCTTCGGGCTGTGAAGCCAGCGGGGACTGTCCCTGAGAGTCGCGGAGGCTGCAGGAGCCGCAGCAGCTCCTCTTAAAGGGCCCGGCACGGACTCACTCGGACGTGCTCTCTCCGAGCCCAGCGCCGGGCAGCAGCCTGAAAGGACCTGGGACGCTCGGGGAGGAACTAACCTGCCTGAGATCCCGCGAGAGCTGGAGGGGCGGCTTCCTCCCAGGCAGAAGGGCTGGTGGAGGCCATGGCTCCTTTGGCGAGTCCTCCCCGCAC